TATATTATTTTTATTTTTTTTGTTTTATGTATATTTATGATCACAGCAGTGTCTGGGTAAAAGTTTGCAGCCTGTAGGTGGATTTACAATCACTGTTAATTCCTGCAGATATATACTTTAAATTGTATCTACACTCACAAATGTTGTATACTGCATCTTATCAGTCCATCAGATATAGTGGCTGCATTAGTTTCCTTTGTTAGTTGTTTTTTTCTTTATTTAAATTTTTTGCCTTTATTTTTATCTTGTGATCCTGCCAGTAATTCTTCCTGTCCTAGGTTGACAATTCTCAGTTCTGTATATATGGAGGAACAGAGTTGTCACTTAAAAAAACACTAATGCTGCCACCACATGTAAGGATTGGTAAGCTGCAATATATTTAAAATTTGGTCTCGGCTTAAGATGTGCTTTAATTTCTATTTGTCCTGTTATGATGAACTAAAGAAATATGTGAACCGAGGTACTAGATATAAGTACTAAATGGTTCTCACTGATGGTTATATGGTTGTTTTGGTAGTCCCTTTTATAATGTGCCAGATCAGGACAGGTGATAGGGGGGAACAGGAAGTCCTCCTGAGAGCATGCCCCATTGGCCCAGCACTAGTTTCACCTCTAGGTTCAGCATTCCCTCCATAGCACTCAGCAACACTCTCTGTACACCAGTTCCCCACCCTGTGAAGTAGACAGCATGTGGAGAGGTGAAAAACATTCAAAGTCACTATGTTTTACATTAATGAGACGTTGGATACATTTGCAATTAAATAGTCCCATGTTATTAGTACCCTTCAGGCATGCTTTACTGTTGTCTGTAAGAATGTGGCAGCCAATACATTCTTTTTTTTTTTTTAGCAATAAGATTTTATTGATGATAAACAATACAGCTTAATGCAACAATAAGTCATATAACATATTTTCATTTAGTCAAGAGGTCAGATGTCATCTATTAGACTAAGATGCTCCCTGGCACTGGAGATATCGGTAAACCGACATCTTCTGTCAATGGCATATATTAGAGGTGGAGGTCATCCATGACATTAGTGTCAAAATCGACTATCTGGTTAATAAGGATTAAGTAATTAGAAAAACTAAGAAGAAGAAAACACACAGAGCATAAATCACACATCAAGGGTTCTTGGATGTTCTCACAGTGAGTGTGTGTTGGGGACTTGTTAGGGTTCTTTGTGGTGGTGAAAGGGTTGGTAGATGAAAGTGAATTGTGTCTGTATTCGGTCTTAGACTAGGGATATTCATATGTGGGGTGATTGTGGATATATCTTGCGGATACTCAAAACATTCATTCATACACACTTTGGGCCCCACACACACTGCGACCAAGCTTAATCCCTGCAGAAACGAGGGAGTACTCCCAAATAAAGCACCTGATAGTGATCAGTGCTAAACCCCTTGACAGACGATGATTTAGAGTATAGACAAAATAGATCAAGTAGGGCAACTCCTTGTACAGGTATCCCGATGTCTGATGGATACTATCTATCAGTTGGTGATTAGTATAGGAAGTCTCTGTAATTCACCATGGATAGAGCAAGGGGACACATTCCTGTATAGGTAAGGTGTAGTCATGGATTTTCATGTATCCATGTTCTTTATAAATCTCTTTAAGGAGAAAAAAGTCCTTCACTTGGTTTCCTGAATCCTCTAAACCGTCCCCTATATCAGTAAATTCCTCCCGTGGTGGTAGGTATTTTTTGGAGGGGGAGACCTGTGATGGACTATTTTAAGTTTGTTTTATAGTCAGCCGTACTCACAGTTGGTCGTCTCATTCCCCTCCTTTGCGAGTCCAGATATCCAGATGGAAGTCCTGTGATTTCAACGTTTGTTGTTAATGTATGGCTCAGTTGTAGGGGGAGGATTTTGTAGGGGGTTTTCTGATTAAATTTGTGGTTTAGAGGAGATGATGTCTCTCCGTCGTTGTTTTCTTTCGGGTTGCAGTCAGCAGTCTCTCAGGGAAGCGGTTGTCTGTGTGGGTCACATAACACACATTAACGGGTAGACGCGTTTCGCTCCGCCCACCGTTAGGGACTGGTTGTATAGTGGTGGTGTCATGTTCCCTAAGGATATTGTAAGTCTGAGATAGTGTTAGTTTAGTTTCTCTAGGATGTACTAAGCGAGTGTATGATATGGGGGGATTAATCATCTTCAGTGAGGGGAGGTGCTTGCGCATAAAATAGTAGATCTGGTAGTATTGCAGTAGGTGTGATGAGGGGATGTTATAGTCTGATTGTAAAGTATGGAAGGAGGTGATTGTACCTTGTGGAGACAAAAAGTGTTGTAGGCTATTTAGACCCTTAGCTTCCCAAATGCGAAATACTTTAGAGGTGGCACCTTGTGGAAATCCTGGGGTTGAGGTTATCGGCATGAGGGGAGAAACACAGCCGGGAATCCCTAAGTATTTACGGATTTCCTTCCATGTGGCGATCGTGTCTTTGAAAAGTATATTATGTTTAATGTTGGGGGGTAGTAATGGGAATGGTGTGTGGAGAATGCCTGAAAGGGACCACGGGGAGACAGCCCCCTGTTCCAGCCTCGTATTTGAGTAGTGAGAAGTTTGTAACAGCCAGTCCCGTGCATGTCTGAACAGACATGCCAAGTTGTATAGACGTATATTAGGTAGGTTAATGCCAAGCCGCAGGTTGGGTTTATATAATTTGTGGGCTGCTATACGGTGTTTTTTACCTCTCCAAATGAATTTGAGGAAGTTGCTCATAAGAATTTTGATGTCCTTGTGTTTAAACAAAACCGGTAAAATTTGCATCGGATACAATAGGCGGGGAAAGCTGATCATTCTGAGGAGATGTCCTCTGCCCAATAAGGACAGTGGTAAATCTTTCCATTTTTGCAGATCGGAAGCTATAGACTGCATTATAGGTGTTAAATTTAAGGAGTATAAATTGGTCGCCGACGTGGGAATATGGATACCTAGGTATGGCCAATACATTCTTAATACTGGAGGGGTTAAGCATAATGCAGTTCTTCTATTTTCACAGTGATTAAACAGAATACTTTTAGAAAAGTTGAAAGATAAGCATAAATGTCTTATCTTTGGTGTCATTATACATTTTATTAGAGTGAAAATGGCATAATTAGAAGCAATTACCTGTATTAATACTGAACATTAAATGTATTAGAGCCTTTTACTGTAGGTTTACAAAAAATAAAGTACTAGCTCATATTACATTAATTGAAATTATCTGAGATGAAATTAAATTTATTAAACAGTTTATAATTCAACAGATTTTGTAGCTCTTGTGAAGATAAAACTATAACAATGGGGTGTGAAACTTCCAGTTCCTCTATATACTCTCCGCAACACATGTCCACTAATGTTATCCTCAAAACTATAACAAAGGCGAATGTTTTTTTTTTACTTGGAATGGTGAGGGGTTATAATCCTTGTCAGGCAGGGCCGTAGATAATTTTTTTTCCTGGGGGGGTACAGCTTCCTCAAATTATAAGATTTTATGTAGCAGACACACCAAGGTTTGAAAAAAATATACCGGACATATCATTCCTAAACCAATCCTTTACCCTGAGCAATACCGATTTTGTTGTTCGACACCATATGGATAAAAACCATGTTTTCAAAAGACTTATAATTGGTACCAATTCACACAAACCACTTAGTATACACTTATTGGGATTTTTTTTTACCAAAAATATTTAGCAGAATACATTTTTGCCTAATTTTAGGAAGAAATTTAATTGTATTTGATATTTTGTATAACAAAAAGTTGAAAATATTTATTTCCACAATTTTTTGTCTTTTTTCATTTATATAAATTTTTTTAATAAAAACCAGCAGCGATCATATAGCATCAAAAAAGCTCTATTTGGGTAAACGTGCACGGCCGTATTGAGCAGCTCCCAGGAAGGACAGGTGCTGCGTGTGATTAGTACGCAGCCCCTGTCCTTCTCTATGGGAGTATATGACCATACGCCGCCCTACGCTCACCCCAAGTGCAGGTCCGTATGGGTACAGGTGTCCCGTCTTGGAAGCAGACAGGATCCATCCTGTCAGCGTACGAGTACCCGCACAGACATGCAGGGTGGGTGAGCGTAGGGCGGCATACGGAGCCGGCAGCACGGAGCTGTGCGTGCCGGCTGTTTCTCATGTGAATGAGTCCTAAGAGACATCCTTTAAGGTAAGTCCCTACAGTAGGATTGGGAAGGGGGAAAAAAAGGTTTCACTTTATTG